GAGTCGGACTACGTCAGGCTAGTCAATGCATCCATCAAGAGAACTTTTAATTTCTAGGTCTACAAGACTTTGTGAAAAACCTTGGAAAAAGCTCATGACTTTAATTTTTTTATTTCTTAAACAACAAAAGATACAGTTTGGCAGGAGCAGGTGGAAGGAGCAGTGATGGTTCAAAGTGTGATGGTTTCTCCTGCTATGGATGTTAAATCTCAATCCACAGTGGATCTCAAAGGTCCACATAACCTTGTTTCCAGGTCAATATACAGCCCTAGGTGCATATCAACGCTCCAGGAGGGATGCCTTTCTCAAAAAACTTTCTGTGAAACCTGAGAGTGTCTGATCCATCACTGAGTGAGAGACACAATGGACTAAAGCACTAAAGTTAAAAAGTGTTGCCTTCAATGTTTTATTAATAATTAATTAATATTTTGTTAACTGGGCAATTGCTCCACAAATCATCCAAGAAACAAAGACCTTTTAGACAGAAGGAGGATTTAAACTCCTAGAGTTCACATGTCTGCATGAGATCTTATGACTTCCTGCTTTGTGTTTGAATGGCATTCAGCTAAAGAGGAAACCATCAGAACGCCTATTTTGAAATTATTCTGGTTGAGAATGAAACCAAGAGGCACCTGCTGTACCGGTGGACCACGCTGCATCCAAACATATATTATTTGTCTTCTCTTCCTTTAAATCCTGTTCTATCCTGTTCTGACTCCTAAAGGAGACGGGCATTCTTGAAGGAGTTGCTCTGCAACTCCCCCCATGTCCTTGATCTGTCCCTGCTTTGCTGTGTCTTGTCTTTTTTTAGCTGTCTCTTCATATCACCCAAATTTTCTCAACTGGAAGGCAGGGAAATGGGGACCTGTTCTGTCCTGCTGGGACATACTTTGTGGGATACACCATGGACTCCTGGAAGGCTTGGAGGATGGTGTGTTTTACAATGGTGTCAGTGGAGAATATTGAATATGTATTAATTTTTGGTTTTATGATACTCTGATTTCTCCTGTTTGGATTTGGAAGATACCTGATGTATCTATAATTACAGAGAATGTCGGTAATTTGGGCATTGATCAGGCTGCCGGCAGCGGTTGACGCCCTCACAAAGGCCGTGAACGAGCAGGATCGGGAGCTGACTCGTATGCTGGGTGGTTGAATTCAAAGGTGAGATGGAAAAATATTATGGATATACACAATCGCTTCAAGGTGGAAAAGCCCAACAATTTGGAGTATTGGATTCGCCACGGAGACCCAGCAAGAAAAGACTTAAGAATGACAGAAAATTCCTCTGCAGCCTGCTGTCAAAACAATAACTGTTATTCTGGTTTCTTCCCCCCCCCCCTTATCAAAGTTTCCCCTGAATGTTATGACGAAAGGGCACAGAAGATCTGCCCCCCCGCCCCTACCGGGGCGACAGTGGCGTTGGATGTAGGAGTTTGCCCTGAAATCGAAGGGTTGACGGTTCAAGCCTCGACTCCAACTTTCAGTGTCGTTGTGTCCTTGGGCAAGACACTTCACCTGCATTGTCTACTGATGGTGGTCAGAGGGTGGCGCCAGTGTACGGCAGCCCCGCTTCTGTCAGTGAGCCCCAGGGCAGCTGTGGCTACAATGTAGCTCACCACCATCAGTGTGTGAGTGAATGGGTGAATGAATGTAGTGTAAAGCGCTTTGGTCAAGTCTCCTAACTTAAATAAAGGCGCTATATAAGTACAGGACATTTACCATTTACCCCCGAACATCTGTGAATGCACCCAGAACTGTTAAATTTCCATCTCATCAAGGACATGGCCTGTGGACAGTGTTTACAGACATATTGAACGCACTCATCATACACACGCAACTAATGTCTCAAATGTCAGATTGACTTCATGTGACTCCACCTCTGATCTGACCATCTGCTGAAATGTCTGTCTCATGTTTTTGATATCTCAAACTGTATTCTGTCAAGGATAAAGTGTGAAATATGCTTTTTTTTCCTCGCTCTCTTCCCCAATGCGGCTCCTTTCTTTCCACAGAGATGAAGGCAGCGCTATTAGAGAACGGCCTGGGAAGCCAGGTAACTAAGCCATAAGAACATGCCAAAGACAGCGTTCTGTGGCACACATGGCCTCAGTAAAAGTGTTCTCCCTCTCAGCCCCCTTTCACCACATTTTGTGGACTTCCTGATGCTAAAGATTAGTCCAAATGCATGGACTAGTTTTGCAGTGTCACTCCTTGCTTGTTTTGGCAATGTTCCAGAGGA